CCAATCACCTGACGATGACTCGCCTAAGAGCGGATCTCGACTACAGGTCATATTGGAGTGTCGTACACAGCTCTCGATATAGTGACTTGGTGGTTGAAGGTCCTTGTAAAGGGGCCTACGAGCGTTGGTCACGAGTTGTAATCCAGTAATGTCCGGTTGTGTAGACCACCGTTATTTGACCGGGAACTTCCAACGGTGGCTCCCTTAAGTCCGTCCCATTTACCAACTCAGCACTCGTAGCGGCAAGTCGCTTCTAGGAGAAAACCCGACACCACAATTACCATAAAAAAGAAGCACGGCACAAGATCCAAGCTCCGAACCCCACTATTGGACGTGGCGACGATCTATACGCTGTTGGTTTCGATGGGTCCGCTCGTGGCAAGAGAGGTGGAGGCGCCTACAGCGTGAACGTGCGGAAGTTGCTTGAATGGAGGGTGCTAAAGGCTAGATCTGGCTACGCGGAAAGTCTGACAGTGAACGAAGCAGAATATCATGGGTTATTGCTGTGTTTGAATCTACTGGAGGACTTGGATCCACGAAGACTAGATTTATGTGGAGACTCAAACCTGGTGATCCGACAAGTACGAGGTGACATTGACTATAAGACACCGGGTTTGACACTGCTACGCCTGAGGGCTCTGGATCGACTACGAACTTGACCAGATCATGAGTTGTTGTATGTCAAACGAGATTGGAATGGGGTGCCGTTAGCTTGGCTAGTACTGCGCTGCAACAACAATGCGGGATCGTGGTTGAGTCTGAGAAGGAGATCCAGGATCTAGTGACCTTGAACCGGTTAGATGAGATCCTGGTAGGGAAGATCGAAGATGAGGCCGCATGGATATCTGCTGTAACGACCCGATCTAAGGATAGATCTGGATTGCGGACAGGGTCTGCTCTAGTCTCACTACGTGAGGAAGTGGTGAGAGAACTACAGATCGAACGGATCCAACAAGCACAGGACGAGGAGTCGTGGATCTCGGGATTGAAGAAGTATTTGGTTGGGTAAATCAGAGATCTAACCCACGAAGATGCTAGAGTATTAGGATCAATGGCCATGTATTACGAAGTGGATCAGTCAGATCTACTCTTCTACTGTCCATCAACAAAAGAAGCTGCTGCGGATCGAAACAAATTGATGCGATTGGTGATACCTGAAACACTTCAGCAAGATATTCTACACCACTACTATACAAGTCTGGAGCATGGTCATCAAGGAATTGGCCGGATCTTTGATCGGATCCCAGATCATTTCCATTGGAGAAGGTTATACAAGAGCGTGCAACGATACGTTGGAGAAAGTGTTGATTGCGAAACAGGTAAAGGACGACCTCAGATCCAAGGTGAATTGCCAAGCAACCTTCAGGCAACATAACCGATCATTGCAATGAATCACATACCCTCGCTGCTAAGATCTTGCAATGCCAGCACAGAGCTGTTGATCTTTGTAGATATATTCTCCGGATATGTAATTACCAAGGCTAGCGCCTCTAGATCTGCACAGACGATCGCCAAAACGTACGAAGAATGCGTTTTCCGCAGATTTGGTGCGCGCGAGGTGACATGATCGAGAGCCAGGCTTCATGTCTGACTTCTTCAAGTTTTTCAATAAGATCTTAGGGCAACGCCAACGCGCTACCATGGCTTATCAACTCCGAGCTAATGGATCCGCGGATCGGATGGTCCAGACACCTACCAGAGCTCTTAAGATGTATGTGCAGGATCGGGATCAACGTGATTGGGACGAATATGCTGAACGGCTCACGTTCGCGATCAACACCTGCAAGAGATAGGATCCAGGTTGAGACCCCTTTCTACATGATATATGGCTGGGATCCTAGATCCACTCTGGAAGCGGTGATCCCGGTGGGGAGCACTTGCAGGCATGATCGAGATCCAAGAAGGTGGCGATATCAGATGGAAAAGTATTACCATCAGGCTCGAGAACAAGTTAAACAACGTGTACGCGAAGTGATCGCGGATCGACCTAACACATAATGATCTGGTATGCTCACATCCGGTGGATGCTGGATCGAGAGTCTGGCTGTACTTGGATCGAGTGCGTCAAGGATATGCGAAGAAACTGGCACATCTATGACATAGGTCCTTTCGCGTCGCTGACAAGATTGGAGAGTATGCAGTGAAGTTGGAGATTGCAGGATCCACGTACAGCATCTTTCCGGTGGTATATGTCTCGAAGATCAAACCGGTCAGGATGTTTCCAACCGATATGAGGACTGGTAAAAGGACGAGATATGGACGGATCTGTCGAGAATTCCTAGTACACTGGCGTGGATATGAAGACCCAACTTGGGTGGATGAAGCGGATCTTAACGGCGGTGCCCTACTCTATGAGTTTCAGCTTGTGTAAATTTGTATACGACAGGGTGTCAAATGGAGAGCTGCCTGAATAAGGTGTGTACCAGTGTGACAACGTGGCTTGGCAGGAATTGCTGACTACTGCTGTCCAGATCGCTACAGTGTCTCGGACGACCGACTAACGGAGGGGGTACTCCGAATGTCCACCGACGCTGAGGTTCTTCTCATCTTGTGTACCCGTCGGTGGGGCGGGGTTGCACTCTGCTGGTGACTTGAGGATGCCTTGGTTGTTAATCTAGGAGACCGTATGGACGGTACTTGGGATTGTTGACTTCCGCGAGGTTACTTCTTCACGCGGCGTCGGGTGTGGAGTGTAGATCAATTAAGCGATCTACATGTCCATGTGTGTGTTCTTGTTCTTTTCTGTTGCTTGCCACTCCAATAGCATGAGTTTGAGGAAGGTTGGTGATCACTCCCTAGCCAAGCAATCTAGGGGCTCTCGGTGTCTTCCCTTTGTGTGCTCTAGTGTCGGCTTAGTCGTCAGGAGGGTCAATGTACGTTCCCTGCCTGGTACGGAGTGCCACATGGCTTAAGATGAGAAGGAGTCCAACGTGTAAGGCCCAAAGTAAATTCGGAAGTCTCATTTAGGTATTTGTCTCCTTCTTGGTTGACGTTGTGGTTCCTCGAGCTTCAGGTGGGCCAATGTACGTTCTTAGCCTGGTAGTAGGTGTCACGTGTCTTAGCAAGAAGACGAGTTCAATCTGGGGGGGGTCCAAAAATATTTAGAAGTTTGCCTAACTCTCCCTAGCCTATCCGCACAGCCACTCATTCCAAAATCGTACCTACGTGTCCCGCAATCAAGGTGCCCTGGTACCCATATCAGCCATGTTCACTTCGTGCCAATCACTGGATACTTCACCTTGCAATCTTCGATTTTCGATCTTTGATCCTCCATCTTGGATCCTCCATCTCGGACTTTCGATCTTCGATTTAGATTGACACTGGTGGACCGAAGTTGGTAAATCGAAGTCTGCCCGACCGATTAGCCTTGTGTGTCCCACACAGATCAGTCCGGTGTGGCCCCCTTCAGATCGACGTCCTGCGAGACATGTCGCAGTTGATTCCTTAGTCCATGTCTCTGACCCTAGTCTCAGTCGTGGATCACAACTCAGCAATCGCCAATTTCTTGATCTCGCTTCACCACACCAGTGTGGATCGTGGGTGAAAGATTATGTATCAGTGTGGGAATTCAAGATGGTACCGAAGCATGGATCAAGAAGAAATCGACATGTATTGTGGCAGAAGGTCTTAGATCTGGGCAGAGCCGACATGAAATCCATCACTACGGAGCGGCGATCGGTACGGCAGGAGTCTGAGACGCCATGTTTGCCAGCTAAACGTGCGATCCGGTGAGTTGAGTGGTCTTCGTGGTGAAAACGAAAATGTGTACGCCACGGATCTGCATCGTCACAGTCTTCGAACGCTTCGATCAGGGTGGTGGGCACACGGCGATTCAACTGTGGATCCGCCAAGTTGGCTCGGCGCACTTTAATGCCGGGGCACCAGAGTACGTCGTTGGTACGTTGTGGGAAGTGCATGAAGAACGGATTCAACAGTGGATCCATGTCGCACCAGCCCTCACGCACGGCAGTAATAAAGAGAAACAAGATCGCCTTCCAACGGGCACCAGCATCCGATCTCCGGTTCTAACGAGATCTCCGGCTCTTACATTCCACGCAGAATGTAGCCAGGTACAGATCTGTACGGGCCAAAGATGGGGACACTGGGAACCGATGCGTTGACTCCCAGTAGACAATTAGATCCTGGATCTCCATGGCTGAATATCTCTCTGCAAACAGTCCCAGGCGCCCACCCACGTCGACCTCGAAAGATATGGGTTCCGGGGTGTTGGCATTGCCGAGCAACTCCTAAGTCTTGCCTGCCATGAGCGTATGAACGTTGGTAGCTGTGATCAAGTGACCACCGTAGTCGGTCGCGGTGGGAGTAGCTACTCTGGATGCCCAATCAGGGAAGATCCAACTCGGATCGAAAGGAAGCGCGCGGGACAGGTCGGTCGTCATGCTAGCCATGGTCCAGCTTGCGACCCGATCTGGCAGCCACGGATCGATGCCCGTCACGGTATATACGCAAGCCAGTTGGTGCCCAGGGATACAGTCCTGATCTGCAGCGAAGAGGTGCTGCAGAAGCACCGCAGGATCCGTGGGGATGTGTGACCCGGCTGGGTCCGCAGGAGGAGCGACAGCCGTATTGTCATCGCCTGACCCACTGCCGTCAGAATCGCCACCAGATCCAGGTTCACCGACCCCACCCGCAGCAGTTCGGCCCGGGGCAGCGTAATTCCGCCGAAGTTGCTCGGATCGAGACCGGGCGAGCGCTATCAACGTCTCCGCTTGGAGCATGTCGTCGAGAACTTCGTCGCTGCTCTGATACACAGAACTCTCGGGGTATGTGCCGGCATCATCAGCTGCATCTAGATCCGACTTACCACTACCTGTAGCGGATCGACGCGACTCTCCACCCGTAGCAGTGGATCCAGGGTGGGAAGTCTGAGAACTTGTCTGTGGGATGCCCCACTGTGTCGGATTCGTCAAATCCCCAGCTTATGGGCTAGATCACGAGGATCACTAGCCGGATCCAAGTCACCTTGATCGACATCATGATCATGCTCATCCCCACTACCCATGTCGAAATCATCTCGATCTTGGCCCTGCTCCTCGCTCCCGTCGGTGTCTGCAACTACTGGAGTCTTGGGTTTGGATGGCCGAGCTGTGTCAGAAGGAGGTGATGAACTGCAAGCACATTTCGAGGAGTCTCCAGCCTTGGAGGAAGATGAGGAGCTGCGCTCAGGCTCGCCACCCGCGGAAGAGTCTTGAGATTCATTGGATGGTGAAGTAAACTCATATTTCTGGTTATCGGAAGGAGATCCCGGTTTGCCGTGACTATAAGACTGAGGATCGGACTTCTCCGGGTCGCTGGGTAAAGCTCTGACTTCTCAAACGCAAAATCTTTGTCACCTGGGGCCTCATGGTCGCTAACAGTGTCTAGACAGAGCTACGTGGTTAGAGGATCAGATCCCATACTGGCAACCACAGCCGACAACATCTCGAGGGATCGGCGGAGTTCTCGGCGCAGGGCCGTACGCTCCCGATCCACGATTTGAAGACTGCGGCCTAGAGACAACATTCTGGACTTAGTCTCGGTGACCGTACGCTCGCTGGCAGCGTAAGCTGTCCGCGTGACATTGACGTCGCGATCTGCGAAGGAAGAGATAACAGTGAATCAGATTGAGGGAATATGGCAAGGTCAATTGAGAGGGCATATTATATATCCAAGGTACTACTTCGCTGGTGTAGCTCGTGCTGGCGCTTCTCAGCTTTTGCTTGATCTGCACGAAGCGACTCATGGCGATCCTTCTCCTGCTGCATCTCGGTTAGCTTCTGCTGAAGTTGGACTTGAAGGTCAGTCGCTACACGATCCCGATCCAGGACCTGGTTGTTCAAGGTGTCACGCTCAGCTGCTAGTTGATCCAGCTTGGTCTGAAGAGTGGCAGTATGCTGGGGATCTCGATGTAGATCGGCACCGGAGAGCTGCCGCGCTGTCGGTAGATCTTCCTCCGTCTGATCCAAAGTCATACACGTATGACGAAGGTCTGACTTCGTGACCCGCAGTTGATCAACCGCTGTATCGCGATCGCGATCGGCCGCGTCGCGCCGGGCCTGGAGTCCCAGGACCTCCTCGTCGGTCACCTCTCGCTCGCGGGGTATTTGAGTCACCTGAGACGCCAGATCGGTGATATGGTCTTCAAGCTGTGGTAACCTGGAGGCGTGGAGATCGGAGTCAGTCGGCAATTGTGCGTCCAGGTCAATGGAGGCCTGCAAATTGTCGCAATCGGAGCAAAATTTGTCGATGGACTGCTGCATGAGTTGATCGCTTGCCCTTGTTCCTGGATATAGTAGCGGAGATCGGCGAATCGCTCCTTGTGTTCGATCGAAGGGGATCGAGTCTCGGAGGGAAGATTACGGGTAGCCAACTCTGCTGTGAGGTCGCCGACCCAACGAAACAGGCGCGAGGCGAACCGATGCAACTCTTCACGAGTGGTGTCGGGTCGAACGCAGATCCGGACGATTTACCGTCGGCGGATCCGTCGTGGCTCGAGCTGTTGCTGGCGTGAGGCATGAGTGCTCTTAGTGTTGGACAATTGGGGAATGGAGGAAAGCCAGCAGTGTTACTGTTGCGCAGCAACAACTATCTGACAGGAGGCAATTGTGGTGAAGTGGATTCGAGAAAATACGAAAGGAAAGACCGGAATAACAAATGAAGGATGGAGCTGGACCGGAGACAAGGCAATCGATCTGGATCAGAGGAGTCAGACTGGACTCAGATCGAGCTGATTCAGGGACGTTGGATTGGTCAAAAGTATATTGATTATAGGTGTTTGATCTGGGTACGACTATATCTGATCTACTCAGGATCAATTCGGATCAAGTAAACAAGGTATGTAATCGGCAGTGTACACCAAGATCCGCAGATAAGCAGCTGCTAGAAGGGAACGTAGGTGGATCCATGTAGTAGAGGATGGGACAAACTAGGATCAAAGACTTAGGAATAACAGAGAATCGAATTTGCATCATTGGGCACAAGTGGCTGGGTTCTTTATT